GAGATGGCCACCAATGGGCACTTGCCTGAAGGGCCCCTCTGTGTTAACGCGCAGCAGATCATGGAGGGCTCCAGAGTGGGCTCCCAGGATCTGCAGTCACTGCTGATGGGCCAACAGCATGGCCCAGGTGCAGCTGTGGGCAGGGATAAGGTGGATTTTGCCCCTGCACTGGGGTGGGCCCCATGAGTGTGCCAGGAAGCAGCTGGGCCATCCTGCGAGTGGGGCAGCCATGGGGCTGGGCAGAGGGTGTGGGATGCAGGCAGCGCTGTTGGCTGGGCAGAGGGGCTGTGCCAGTGCTCGAGGGAGCCGGGAATGGCCCCGGCTGTCTGCACTTGTGGGTGGAGGAATCCTGTGGGGAGGATGTGGGTGATGGTGAAGGCAGCACCTTGTCCAGGGCAGTTGGTGTGGCTGAGTCTGTGTGTGCGTGTGTGCGTATGTGTCCATATTTGTGTGTCTGTCCATGTCTCTGTCTGTGTGCGCCTATGTGTGTGTGCGACTGTGTGTCTGTCCGTCCATGTGTGTGTCCGTGTCTCTGTCTGTCCGTGTGTCCATGTGTCGGTCCATGTGTCTGTCCATGTGTCTGTGTGTCCGTCTGTCCATGTCTCTGTGTCTGTGTGTCTCTGTCCATGTGTCTGTCCATGTCTGTGTCTGTGTGCTCCTATGTGTGTGTGTGACTGTGTGTCTGTCCGTCCATGTGTGTGTCCACGTGTCTGTCTGTGTGTCCATGTGTCTGTCCATGAGTCTGTCCATGGGTCTGTCTGTGTGTCTGTCCCTGTGCCTGTGTGTCTGTCTGTCCATGTCTCTGTGTCTCTGTGTGTCTCTGTGTGTCTGTCCCTGGGTGTCTGTGTCTATCTGTGTGTCTGTCCCCATGTCTGTCTGTCCATGTGTCTCTCCATGTGTCTCCGTGTGACTGTCCATGTATGTGTCTGTGTGTCTGTCTGTCCATCTGTCTGTCCCTCTGTCTCTGTGTCTCTCCATCTGTCCCTGTGTCTGTCTGTCTCTGTGTCTGTGTGTGGGACACTCCCTCGTTTCCAGGGTCCATCCTGCAGCTGGGAACGCCGCTGGATCATCGGCTGTGCCAGGAAGGAGCCCCTGGCTCCTGTGCCGTGCCCGGCTGGGCTCCAGCAGCCGCTGGCAGCGATCCCCAAGGCCGCAGCTGCCGCGGAGCCGCTGCCAGGAGCCTGGGGGCTCTGACAGCACCCTCAGGGAAAGCCTCTTCTTCCTGCACAGCCATGGCTTCGCCGGAGGACACTGCAGAGGGGGATGCAAAGGCACAGCTCCTGGCACAGGCGTTTCAGGGGGAAGGACTGGATGATGGATACTGGCTGCCCAAAGTGTCGCAGATCCTGGGAGTCAAGAGCAGAGAAGCCCTGCAACATCTGGAATACAAAGACTACCTCAAGCTGGAGTGTGAGGTGCAGTACCCCTGGGAGAAGAAGGC